GGGCCTGATTGTGAGATATTGATATCATAGCACGTGAGTTGTCCGTGCAGCACGTGAGTTGGCGGTACATATCCTTATATTATACTATAGCACGTGAGTTGGCCGTGCAGCATATGAGTTGGCTGTGCGGATCCTTATATTATACTATAGCACGTGAGTTGGCCGTGCAGCATGTGAGTTGGCCGTGCGGATCCAGATATTTATATTATGGCACGTGAGTTGTCCGTGCAGATTATAGCGCTTAGGCTGTAGGAGCCCCTTCGGAGTCTGTACACCCCAAGTGAGTGCGGGTACCCATTGGGAGTGAGTGATGAGGGTTGGGAGCCCAGTGAGTGATGAGGACTGGGAGCCTAGTGAGTGATTGTTGTCCTCAGAGGTTGTACTTGATTTCCATTTGTTATTGCACTTAGTTGCTATCTGTCATTGTTGTGAAATCTCTGAAAGTTTTTTATATACGGATTACATGAACAGGAACTGTATAAAAATTGATTTGACATTAAACTACCAGATTTGATAGCATGTCTATTCTTTGCTGGAATTACTGGAAATGAATCATAACTGTGTAGCTCGTTACTATCTTTAGTTCCTTATTTATTATTGTTACTTGCTGAGTTGGTTGTACTGATACTACACCCTGCACTTCGTGTGCAGATTCAGGTATTTTCGTACATAGCGGGTGTTGATCCTCTCACGTGGTTGATTTTTAGGAGATTTTGAGGTAGCTGCCGTATTCCGCAGACCTTGTCTCTCCTTCTCTATCTCTTCGTTTACTGTATTTGGTCTCAGACTATTATAGACCATATTTTTCCAGACTTGTATTCATATTAGATGCTCATGTACTTAGTGACACCAGGTTTTGGGAAGTGTTCGTATCACTATTTGTGGGATTATGTATTTAATTTAAAATATTACATTTTTAGACTTAAGAGAATTTGTGGTTCATTGAGATTTTTGGCTTGCCTAGTATTGAAATAGGCGCCATCACGACAGGTTAGGATTTGGGGTCGTGACAATTTGTGACTAGATTCGAGGCTTTCGGAGACCAATTCTCGTGGCAAGGGCATAGCGAAATAAAGAATTACGCGGTTTGAGGTAACTAATAGTTTTAAATCTAGTCCTGAGGGGATGAAACTCCGGATTTTTGTATCATGTGATTACTTTGGAGGTGACGCACATGCTAGGTGACGGGCGTGTGGGCGTGCACCGAGGGGATTGTGACTTGATCCGACCCGTGAAACTGTAAAGTTAAATAATTTGTTGTTAGCTATATGCTCTCTATGTGTTGTGGAAATTTGACTGTAAGACATGTTAGAAACCATGTTTAGGCTATATGTTGGTAATGCTGGGACCCACAAAGGTCGTATTTATGTTGAATTATCTGCTAAATCGTTATTTGGTACTCAGTCACATTTTACTTGTTTATTTTATCTCAGTCTCTATTGTTCATTATTGATGCATCATATCATTATTGTTTGGGCTGATTTCATGATTATTGAGAGTCCGGGAGACTGGAGAGATTTATGACTGAGTGAGGCCGAGGGCCTGATTGTGAGATATTTATACTATAGCACGAGAGTTATCCGTGCAACACGTGAGTTGGTCGTGCGGATTCAGATATTGATACTATAGCACGTGAGTTGTCCGTGCAGCACGTGAGTTAGCCGTGCGGATCCAGATATTGATACTATGGCACGTGAGTTGTCCGTGCAGCACGTGAGTTAGCCGTGCGGATCCAGATATTGATACTATGGCACGTGAGTTGTCCGTGCAGTACGTGAGTTGGCTGTGCAGATTATAGTGCTTGGGCTGTAGGATCCCTTCTAGAGTCTGTACACCCCCAATGAGCGCGGGTACCCATTGAGTGTGAGTGCTGAGGGCCGAGAGCCGAGTGGTTGAGTTGTTGTGATGAGTTGAGTGATTGTTGCCTGAGAGACTATACTTGCTTTGCATTTGTTGTTGCACTTGGCTGCTATCTGTCATTGTTGTGAAATCTCTGAAGGATTTATATCCAAATTACATGAATTTGAACTGTATAAATTGATTTGACTTAAACTGTCGGATTTGAAAGCATGTCTATTCTTTGTTGGAATTACTGAAAGTGAACTATAATTGTGTAGCTCGTCACTATCTTCAGTTATTTATTTATTATTGTTACTTGCTGAGTTGGTTGTACTCATACTATACTCTGCACTTCGTGTGCAGATCCAGGTATTCCCAAACATAGCGGGTATTGATTCTTTCGTACAGCTGATTTTATGGAGATTCTGAGGTAGATGTCGTGTTTCGCAGACCTTGCCTCTCCTTCCCTATCTCCTTATTTACATTATTTGGTCTCAGACTGTTATGGACTGTATTTTTTAGACTTGTATTCATATTAGATGTCCATGTACTCAGTGACACCAGGTTTTGGGAGTGGTTGTATCGGTATTTGTAGGATTTCTGGATTTTATTTAAATATTATATTTTCAAACTTAAAATAAATTGTGGTTTACTGAGATTTTCGGCTTGCCTAGTTTCGAGATAGGCGCCATCACGACAGGTTAGAATTTTGAGTCATGACAGTTAAATATTCACTTTTTAACCCTTCATCGAGATGATGGCGAAGGAAAAATATGGCTTTCGCCTTATCCTGACTTGATGCTTCATTTCCTTCTTTAATAGTGTCACCAAGACCTTTAGCGTCAAGGTGAATTTCAGCATTAAGTACCCATGGCAAATAGTTATTTCCAGAGATGTCAAGTCCATAAATTCAAGCTTTGACAAATTCGACATATTGAAAACTATCATAGAAATAAGTGAATTAGAATGACAAGAATTATTATCAATTCAGTGCAGTACATAATCGTGTATTAATATTCTATATGTAAAATTATCAAACAAACAATTATGTGCAGTACGATGATAAATTAGTGTTTAATATTACCCACAAAAACTTTAGACATGTAAGTATATTTCCATAGAATAAATAAGTTGAATTAATATGTACTAGTATAATTTTGTTCTACTTAGAATACGTTTCAATAAACTAAGTAGGCATAAAACTAGATGATATCAATTCTGACAAGTTTCAACATTCAATACGATTCATCTAATAGTTCAGTCGTTAATTTTAAAGTCATTAATTAGTTTGTACACTTAGGTGATAAATTTATTGAAGACACATTTAAACCTTTTGAAAATTTTGCAAGAATTTCTTCTAAATGCATATTCTGTTAGAATATTTGGATGTGGGCTTAATTAGTCTAATTATTGTAATTTAATTTTAATACTTATTTATTTATGTGTAGCATTAAACTTCTTCGTAGTTTATATAATAAAATAACAATTTAATCGAAACTTATCGTTTTCATACCAATGTAATTATTATAATCATATTCAAAACAAGTTATGCATATGGTAATTAAATTACAGGTTAAAGAAAATCCTAATAGAAACGTTATAAACATAGGAATGTATACCTGAACAGGAAAAGAAACTGACTACCTCTTTTAGGAAGAAGATAAAATTCGGATGAAGCAGCTAACCTCAGTTGGTTAGAACCTCGTGCTGATAACGTGTTAAGAAATGAGAGCACAATAGAACAATATACTAATGGAGACAAAATATATATGAGGGGGAATGGTTTTGTTATTTCTTTTCTTGGTGTCTTCTTCATAGGGTCAAAAGTTCCCTATTTATAAAGGTACAAATACATTCGAAGGTTATAAGTTAATGTACTTCTTAATTGAGTACATGAATACAAAGTACGTTAAATGGACAGACAAATGCATTCCTCTCACTCACATGCATTCATCTCATTTATAACAATACTAACATTGTAACAACCTGCCATAGTCTATTAAATTCCACGTAAAAATTATTTACACTATTAGTTTGTATATCTTAAGATCTAAAGAAGTCTTAATTGAAGAACAAAGTACTTAGGGAAGGGTTAGTTAATTAATGAAGTGGTAAAAATATATTAATAGCTTTTAACCATGGCCAAAAAATTCCCCCTAAAAACTCCTCCAATGACTCGGTCACATTCACAATATAATCCACAATTTAATAAAATTAATCCGATAATTATTGCGAATCTCCTCAACTTGTCATATTAATTAAACTCCGCGACTCGGTAATTAATTAACAATTAGAACCATGATTAATTTGTTTAAAGTAAAGGAAAAGCAGAAAGAAGCAGCTGAAAATGCAGAAGGGAAACCACCAATTAAGGAGCAAACTGCATCACAATTAAGGCTTCATAGAGATATTGGTGAATTAACATTACCACCAATTTGTACCATTGAATTTCCAAATGGAAAAGATGATCTTATGCATTTTGAAGTCACAATTAAACCAGATGAAGGATATTATAAAGAGGGTACATTTCCTTTTACTTTTGAAATTCCAATACTTTATCCACACGATGCACCAAAAGTTAAGTGCAAAGTTAAAGTTTATCATCCAAATCTTGATTTAGAAGGAAATGTTTGTCTTAATATCCTTAGAGAAGATTGGAAACCTGTGTTGAATATTAATGCAGTAATTTATGGTTTGATACATTTGTTTACTGAACCAAATCATGAGGATCCACTCAATCATGAAGCAGCTGAGGAATTAAGAGACAAACCAAAGTCTTTCGAGCAAACTGTTGGTAGAACCATGTGGGGAGGACATGTGCATGACGTATATTTCGATCGCGTTCTGTAATTTTTCGAAGCGAATCCAGAATTTTGAAGTTTATGAGACTGTATAACGACGTCCGCAAGTTAATATTACATGGGGTAAATGATTGGAAGAATTCTTCTTTGGATAATAGGTATTGTAAGTGGTATTCTTGAAATCGATTTAATATGTATTTTCTTTTATGGTTCATATTCTGGATTGGGCTCATCCCTGTAGTAATCAATAACAGGCTATTCACAGTCAAATATTGATAAATATTTAGTAATTTTTTTTATATATATACAAGGACGAGACAAAAGTTATTAGATTTACGTTAATCTCAAAAACTTTTAATGATGGATGTTACTGATGTTGAATAGATTAGGGAAGAATTCAAGATATGAAGATTAATATTTTGTTAAGATTAATTTTCTTGTCTCCTGTGTGTTATATTTAGTGAGGTACGTTTCGTTGATGTCCTGCCTCTTCATTGTTTGCATGCTTTTTTATTTACTAATAAAAACCGATCACTGGTTTTTATTTTTAGTATCTTGCAATCGCTTGGTGCAAATATTTTTAAGATATTTTGGAGAATAACCAAAACAAAGTTCAATTTTCATTCCCCAAATTGTTAAGAAAAAATTATATTTTTTTTAATTACTCGTCCACGATGTGTGGGATTTATAATAATATCAAAGACCTCTCCTCATATTTTGCACGTTGTCTCACCTACAACCAGGGGCGGATTAGTAGTCTTAATCATGGGGCACGTGAACCTGTGGTCTTATCGTCAAACTAGATATTTTATGTACGTATTTTTTAGAATTAGTCTAATATTATTAGTTGACACCTATGCTCCAAAAAGATTGTATGGTGCACTTGATTGAATATTAAATTTTTAGTGGTGCACTCATGTTCAAGAAATCCTAAATCCGCTTCTGTCTACAATATCATTATCACAAGGAATATTGGCATTATGAAGCAAAACCTAGAAGGGAGGGAGTTCAGAACCAAAATAACACACAAACAAAAAAAGAAGCAAAGCGACAAAATAGTGTGCGGGAAAGGAACATATTTAGGAAATTATTTATCTATATAAAAGAAGAAAAAATTAATTTGAAGTGGAAAATGATATGAGATCAAATTAGAACTCCCCAAAGTATGATTATTTTGAATGTCAAGTAAAAATTTTCGGGTGCTATTTGCTTTTAATTCAAGCAATTAATAAGGAAAGTCTATAAAAGAAAAAGTAGAAAAGGCAATCCTTCAGAAAAAATTGTCTCTGTATTTTCATTTTAGTTTAGTTAGCTTTTTTCTAAGCTTTTGTTTGTATTTTAATGAGTGTGCAGTGTGGGTCCAGCCCCATGTGTGAAAGTTTTGAGAATTGTGTCTTATTTGAATATAGAAAAAATGGACGACAAATTTTCTTGTGTTTATACTATAGTGAGGTCATTGATGACATCACGTAAGTAATTTCTTTGCTATAAATAACAAGATTTTGTTTCAGTTGAAGACACGTCAACAAAGAGTGGGGTATCACAGACAAGGTATAAGAAAATAATTTGTGAGAAAAATAGAGAGAGCGATATTGTAGTGAAGTGGAATATCAAAAGAGGGTTATTTCTTTTGAATGTTGTAGTGGTTTTTGAAGTATTTTACTCGGACCTACAAAGTATAAATTCCTTACTATAGTGATATCAGTTGCTCCTCTCAGGGCCATGGTTTTTCCCTATATTCAAAATGGTTTTCCACGTAAAAATCTTGTTGTTGTTATCACTCTTTTATTCTTGTTAATTACCGTATTTCGGTGTTATGTTATTATTCCGCTTTTAGTACCGTGAATATTATTTCTGTGAGAAGTTTATTCTCAACAACTGGTATCAGAGCACATATTCTGCTCGTTCACAAAAATACTATTTACTGTCGGTAGTACTATACTCGGTGAAAAATAAAAATATCCTAAGTAAAGTATGAGGTAGCAAAATTTAACGGAGATAGCAGTTTCTCAACATGGCAAAGAAGGATGAGAGATATGCTCACCCAACAAGGATTACACAAGGTACTAGATGTTGATGTCAGAATGCCTGATACCATGAAAACTGAGGATTGGGCTGACTTGGATGAAAGGGCTGCTAGTGCAATCAGGTTGTACTTATCAGATGATGTGGTAAATAACATCATTGATGAAGACACCGTACGTGGCATTTGGACAAGGTTGGAAAGCCTATACATATCCAAAACGCTAACAAATAAATTGTACCTGAAGAAGCAGCTATATCGAGGAAGAAGATAAAGTCATCTTGCTGTTGAACTCGTTGCCATCTTCGTACGATAATCTGGCAACAACCATCATGCACGGTAAGATTATCATTGAGTTGAAAGATGTCACATCGGCTCTTCTACTCAATGAAAAGATGAAAAAGAAGCCTGGAAATCAAGGATATGCTCTCATCACAGAAGGTAGAGGCAGGAATTATCAAAGGAGTTCGAGCAACTATGGTAGATCCGAAGCTCGTGGAAAGTCTAAGAACCGATCAAAATCAAGATCTAGAAATTGCTAAAATTGTGATCAACCACGTTACTTCAAAAGAGATTTTCCAAATCCAAAGAAGGGCAAAGGTGAAACTAGTGGCCAGAAGAATGAAGACAACACAATCGCCATAGTGCAAAACAATGATAATGTTATCCTCTGTATAAACGAGAAAGAGGAATGCATGCACTTATCAGGTCCAGAGTCGGAATGGGTGGTCGATACAGCAACATCTTACCATGCCACACCGGTAAGAGATCATTTTTACAAATATGTAGCAGGTGATTTTGGCCTTGTGAGAATGGGTAATACAAGTTACTCAAAGATTGCGGGGATTTGTGACATTTGTATCAAAACAAATGTCGGATGCACATTGATTCTAAAGGACGTGCGACATGAACCTGATTTGCGGATGAACTTGATCTCGGAAATTGCTTTAGACCGAGATGGATACGAGAACTATTTTAAAAATTAAAAGTGAAGACTCACTAAAGAATCATTGGTGATTGCAAAGAGAAGTTGCTCATGGCACGTTGTACAGGACAAATGCAGAAATATGCCAAGGTGAATTGAATGCGGCACAAGATGAGATTTCTGCAGATTTGTGGTACAAAAGAATGGGTCATATGAGCGAGAAGGGATTGCAGATTCTTAACAAGAAATCACTCATTTCTTATGCCAAAGGTACAACGGTAAAACCTTGTGACTATTGTTTATTTGGTAAGCAACACATCGTCTCATTTGAGATATCGTTTGAAAGAAAATTGAATATACTTGATTTGGTATATTCTGATGTTTGTGGTCCAATGGAAATTGAATCGATTGGCGGTAACAAATATTTTGTTACTTTTATTGATGATGCTTCACGAAAATTATGGGTTTATATTTTGAAAATCAAAGATCAGGTGTTTCAAGTTTTTCAGAAGTTTCATGCTTTGGTGGAAAGGGAGACAGGCCAAAAGCTAAAGCGTCTCCGAAGTGACAATAAAGGTGAGTACACTTCAAGGGAATTTGAAGAGTACTGTTCGAACCATGGGATCAGTCATGAAAAGACAGTTCCTAGAACCCCACAACACAATGGCATAGCCAAAAGGATGAACCGCAACATTGTGGAGAAGGTGAGAAGCATGCTCAGAATGGCTAACCTACCTAAGTCATTCTAGGGTGAAGCAGTTCAAACAGCCTGTTATCAAATCAAGTAAATTCATGGAGATTTGGAAAAGAAGATTTTTATGGAGCAGCCGGAAGGATTTGAAATAGCTGGAAAGAAACACATGGTGTGCAGATTGAATAAGAGTTTTTATGGATTGAAGCAAATATCAAGGCAGTGGTACATGAAGTTTGACTCATTCATGAAAAGTCAAACATACATAAAGACCTATTCTGATTTATGTGTATACTTCAAAAGATTTTCTAAGAATAACTTTATTATATTGTTGTGGTATGTGGATGACATGTTAATTGTAGGAAAAAAGACAAGGGTTGATCGCAAAGTTGAAGAGAGATATGTCCAAGTCATTTGATATGAAGGACTTGGGCCCAGCACAACAAATTTTGGGTATGAAGATAGTTCAAAAGCGAACAAGCAGAAAATTGTGGCTGTCTCATGAGAAGTATATTGAACATGTACTGGAACACTTCAACATGAAAAATGTTAAGCCAGTAAAGAGAACATGGCTAGAGTTCCTTATTCTTCAGCAGTCAAAAACTTGTATATAATAGTATGTAACAAACCTGTAAGAAAAAATAGAAAATGAGCGATATTGTAGTAAAATTAGAATATCAAAAAGAATTATTTCTTTTGAGTGCTATAATAGTCTTTGTAATATTTTACTCGAATTTATAAAATGTAAATTTACTTGTTATAATAATATCAGTTGCTCCTTTCAAAGTCACGATTTTTCCATTATTCAAAAAGATTTTCCACGCAAAACTCTTATATCATTGTCACTCTTTTATTCTTGTTAATTACCATATCTCAATGCTGCATTATTATTTCGCTTTTTGTACCATAAAAGCAAAAAGAAAAAGATTGGAAGCAACAGTATCTCAGTGCACCATTGGAAGCAAAAGTATGATCACATTTGTATTTCTTTTTCTTTTTTTTTTTGCTTTCATATGGGTTCAACATTTGCATTTAAGGATTTATACAATGTAAATTTTACATTATTTCATGAGTTAACATGTTAGATTTGCATTTTGTGATTTTAAATTTTGCCTTGACTGGTTTATCCAAAAAATACTATTGCATCCTAGTATGATACTTCAACTATTGTATTGGTACCAAGACATTTTAAAATAATCTATTGTTTGATTCATTTATTCATATAACCTAATCGTGAGCTGGGGCGTATGGACCTTATATCATGCTCTGTCATGAAACACTGCTTGGTCAAAAACATTTACAAGACATAAAATCTTGAGGATACATATAGAAAAAAATATGATTTGTTATTATAGTGATTTATTCCGCTTATATGTAAAATCTTTGTACGCCACTGCCAAGAAATGTACATAGTTGGACACTACCATTTCACGTGATGATTATTTATGACAACATAATTTTAATATTCAATTTAATTTTTTGGCCTTTGTAGTTTACTGAGGCCTATATCCTGCATCTTCCTTGTTTACTCGCTTTAACAACCAATATATTTGACGACCCAACTTAGCAAAAAGA